TCACCTGAGTCTTGCCGTCGGGACGCCCCTCGGCCACAAATTCCAATAGACGAATCCACAACAATGGTTGTGCTTGTATAATGACCCCAGAGAGATGAATCCTTTAGGTACGTCAGGTCAATGTGTCACCACACAACTCAGGGTCCCCAACGGGTTTCAAAACAAAAAGGTCTAAACGACCCCATACTGTAAACACAACTTGCGACTCGACTTTAGGTCCTTGTCCGTAAGCGTGTACCCACAAGAAGAGGAGGTCCACCCTGGTTCCGAGTGTACCTCGCGTCTCCTCTATGTCGCAGGCGAGACATTTCGCCAATCCCGGCCATCGTTTGACTTTACCAGTTCACACCCCCTTCATACCTCTGCTATACCAAGAAATGGTCGGAGAGTTTTGGTGAAGTAGTACTACCCCCCCCCCCACTCACGGTGTCCGGCCATTGTAGTAAGTCCGTCCAGTGACTCTAAAGAGAACCGTGTCCAATCGTTACCGAAGTCAGAATTTTTGTACTACTTGTTATACCGGACTCGGTCGCTCCACAACTTCTACAGACACTCCTTGTACCCACGGTCGACCAGGCGTGTCAGGGACTCGTGGGCAGGACCATTGACAGCCCCGGACGACGGGAAGGCCCCCAACTGAAAGGAGGTCCAGGAGACCTTGAAAGTCGACACAGTTCCGCTTCAGAAAAAAGGGGGACGGAACCCCTGTCGAAAAAGTTAACGTCACCACAATAAATTCACGGAGTTTCGCTGGTTTCACTAACAAATCAACACTCTTTATATCAGTAGTAACAGTGTCCCATTCACCTCGTCGGAACATAGCGTCACTACCTGACTTACGGGACGGTGTCACGCGGACGATAGGTACCCCAGTACCTTCTTTGAGACCTAAACAACCGATACCGGCTCGAAACGTAGAGACTACCGTACCAGGTCCAACCGAGAACGACAAGATTCTCGACGGTGCAGTCGGCTAGACATTCTGTTCAAAACACGAAGGTCGTCTCGTGCTTGGGAGGGTATAAGTAGGTCCCAAAAGAGTAACTGTGCACACCACTACAAGAACTGCCTGTCTCTGCAGAAGGGTACGTGAAGACCTACTTACGTCTATATCCAGTGGTTGTATGAGGAGGTGTAATTAGACAACCAACTGTCAACGCCGGAGAAATTTGTACAGGGTTATACACCGTAGGTTGTTGTCATTGACGTACGACTGTACCTGGGAGTCGCGGTCCAAGTGGACGAAGTGGCACCGAAAGAGACTACTCGTCCCCGGACATACGTCCCTTAATCGTATTGTCTCTCTACCAGACTACTAGGTACAGCCCCCGGCCACACGACGAGACTTACGGGGAATTACGACCACATACCGTCTAGGTACATAAAAACGCGAGACCAACGTTTTGACGTGTTGGAACCCCTAATCCTTGGAACCTCCCTCTTGAACAGAAAGTACCCAAATTGGACCCCAAAAAATTCTCAGGTCGGTTGTTTTTTCTGTGGGAACCCTTTTACACGTCAGGCGTCGAGGGGTGAACTTACAAACAACCCATTTCTCTCGGTCAGGTACCCGAAGAAAGTCATTTTAAATCGGCGACTTCCCCCCTTTTGTTACGGGTGCGTCACTAACTAACCAAAGTCATCACTTAAGAGAAAACCCGTTTATCTTACCCAGGACGTAAAAATAACAAAGTTTTTGGGAGTTACACGGCCTTTCGTTGTTCAGCCGATCTTCTCCGAAAAGCAGGTGTCTAACAGTGAGGTTGAAACAAAATTTTGAAGTGCATCTATGTTGTGGTGGGACGTTGTTCCCTAAACGGACACCCTTCCAGCCCCAAACCCCGAAAGGAACAGTCTTTTTAGCCTTATAACCCAAAATCGGGGAGGGGTAAGATTGTTCGACCAAGGGGCCTGGCCTTACCCAATCGGTACCAAAAGCACCTCTTAAAATTACCCACCGTCGTAAGGGGAGGTTAAGGGAGGAAAGGCTACAAGGGGCCAATTTTAAGGGGCATTAGGTCAAAACAAAAAAGGTCCCTTTTCAATTGTAAAACCCGATTCCATCCTGCCCATTCCCCCGGTCGCCGGCAAAAGCCTTCCCCAAAACGGAAAAATCGAATCCGGGCTTATTCGGGAGGGGGCCGGGATTTGGCGCCGGAATACGAAGGACAAATTTTGCGGGAGGTCAAAAAGGGAAAGTTCTTACCGCCGTTTCCCGACCACCCCTTCCCGGACGTACGGCAAGCTTTTTCGGGGCAAGCCAAAGGGACCTGACCGGCATTGTCAGGGGCTAATTCGCATCGGGTTAGGGGCCCATGTAACCGGGGACAGGGATTGGAAAGGGGATTTGATTGCCTGGAAAAGGCGTCTAGCTAGGTAATTTAAACTACTTAGTATGTGATTGAAGACCGTAGTTGCGGAAACGTGAGCCTGTAAATCTTTCTAAAAAAGGAGAGTTTTATTTTCAGTCTACTCAGGTGTTTTGGGAAAAAAGAAAGTTTTGTTTCGGGAACGGGTCTTTGACCCCTACCGGTTCCCGTTAAAAAAGAACTCCACCGGTGGGGCAATCTTGGCGACCTCTCGACACCCCTTACCATTACCGGAAAAAAAAAAAGAATTCGTAAAAGGTTAATAGTTCGGGTGTAAACTTAAACTTAAAAGGGATTGAATATTCGTTTGCATACTCCCGAGCTTTTGGACTGAGGGATCATTCCCGGGGTCGGGAAGCTATAAAAAAAGGGCATCACCGGGAGACACTTTTTTCCAACCCTGAAACCTTCCCCACTGCAGGTGAAACGGAGTTTGAAGGCGGCTTTGACCGTTTAACCAACCCTTTCGGGTTTCGCGCTCTAAAAGGGGTCCGTAAGAGTTCCCTTAAAGTTTTCAACTCGTTCAAAAGTTGAAAAACTTCGACTCCAACCCCATCGTAGTCGGGGTAGTTTGGGCAAATTAACGTTTAGACTTGGTCATGTTTCGGCGATCGGTAGTTTGGGCGGGCACGTTCGACCCCTCACCTGTTTTGGGCGTCAAAGAAACCGGATTATAAGGATTTTTTACCTCCCTTTTTAACAATAACCCGGGCCATCGGTTTTTTAGTTGGCCAAAAGAAATTAACTGGTCAGGGATAAATTGAATTTAATGGCCACTTTGTTGGCCTTCCCTATGCGGGGTCCCTTACCTCCCCTCCAACCCGTCTTCTGTCACCCCACTTTTGACCCATCCAAAAAGCGACAAAAACCCCTAAATTACGGTCAAGTGGAAGCAAAATTATAACCGGGATAACGGGAAAACAATTAACAGCCCCCGCCCTTCTTAGGGGTTAACTCCAACAAACCAAGGCGCAACGACAGCGTTTTTTTTTAGGGGGTTCGAAGGTCTTTTAATGCGGGTGGAAGGTTCTAAAAAAAAAAATTTTTGCGACGGACCCACCACCCCTGCTCACTACACCCAGCCAAGCACTTGCTCGGGGCCGGGGGGAGTTTTCTCGGGCCGGAAAAACGGCCCCCTTTTAATTAGCTTCGTTTACCTCCGTTTGTTTAAATACGGTTACACGTTACTTCCGGGTGTTAATAGGCGGAAATTTAATGTACCGGTGTAGGGTTTGGTTTCATTGCCTGGTTACTGAGGGGTTATAATTAAAAATTTACGGAAAATTTTACCTAATTCTTTTAATAAAATAACTAAAAATTTTTATCCATTACCATAAATATTTAACTGTTACGGTAGGCGGGTTTTTTTTTTATCAGGGCAAACAATGACAAAACCCTCTGATTGCATCGGTTTGCCGTTTCCTTGACCGAAGCTTTATCACCAAAAAACTTCCTCGGAAAAAAACTTAATGTCTTAAAAACTTTTGTTTAGGGGGAAAAACGACGAAATTTCATCGTGTTTAAGTTAATACCAAAGTTTTGTAACCCTTTCATAATCTATAGGGAACGGGGATTACGGTTTTGTCTAATTAGTTGGACCTTATTACACCAAGCGGGCAAATACCAGGGATACAGGGATCTGGTCGACGCAATTTTTTCTTCCCCAAGGGAACGGGGGCAAATGAAGGGACTAATGAAGGATTATTTTTTTTTGTTCCCTTTTCTCCCCTCTTAAGAGAAAAAAAGGAGGGGGAGGAAAGACTGTCCGGGGGTCCGTTCGACTAGAGTCTCGTGCGGGAGGGGAAGAGACGCCCCCCGCACCAAGGGGGTCGACGTGAGTTTCTTAGCCGGGGAAAAGAAATTTTATTAAAAATTTTTACAGGCTTATTCTTCGGCGGGAAAAAAAAAAATTTATAAAAAATTATCACAACTTATAGCCCAAAAAACAACATCGCCCAACCCAAGATGTTCGTTCAGGGGTTCACGGGTAAGTAACCCCCCACCATTTTTTTTAGTCTTCTCAAAATGTTCCCCCAGACATTTCGTTAAAATTTTTATTTGTTATAACCGGGTTGTTTTCGGTTTTTAGTACGAAAATTTATAATTTTGGTTACATTGAAAAAATTTGAAAACCTTATGGAAAGTTCATGTTTTCCTACCCCCATAATAATTTAAAATTCACTAATATACACATGTGTATTCCCGGATATTGTAGTAAAGGGTTTAATCAGGTTTTGTCCCGGGACTGATGACCCACAACTGCTGCTCCAGGTTCTGTA